GTCGAGAATCAGCGATAGGGCGTCAGTTGCCTAGTAGATATGTTACTATTAGAGGTCACTGACAATACCAGGTCAGGTCACCAAGGGTCACAGGTCAGGTCACATGAACCCAACTTTACTAAGGTTGTGTGATGCATGTTTTATGGCCAATTTTTCATTTCCAACTCAATGGTGTTGGTTATAAGACTATCAGGTACGGCTTAGGTCACTTTCTGGTGAAGGTCAGGTCAAGGTCAGGCCAAAAAGGTCAAATTTTAAAGTTGATAGTTTTGCATAAAATGGGTATTGATTCGATGCAGCTCGTCACGGGGGAGTCTAATGGTGGTCTTTGTTTTGCGCTACGGGGTCTAGAATTGCTAAAAATTGAGTTTGAAAATTTGACATCATCAATTTTGAACAGTTTTTTCGCTATAACTTCGCCAAAAAAGAGGTATCAATCTCAAATTTGGTATGTGGATAGAAGGCGGTAAGGACTACCACATATATTCCGGTTTTTGCGAAATTCAAAAAACGTTTTGGATTTTTCGACTATTAAATCCAAAAATTTTTTTTTTGATTTTTGGGATCAAAATCCAAAAATTTTAAAAATCCGAGATGGCAGTTTTGTAGCCCTGTCAATTCTACAGCTTTTATGTCATTTATGTTTATTTATGTTTTATGCTTTTTTATGTTTATCATTTTTCTGTATTTGCAAAGCTATAGGCCTGACAGCTCTTCCCGCGAAACCTTTTTTGGTTCGAAAACGGCAGAACATGATGTTACTCTGACGTCATTTCCGGCCAACCTATCATAGCCTTTGGAAAAATTTTTGGTCACAATGTGTAAAATTGATGTCCGGGAGGGTACTGAAAGTTTGGTGACGATCGGCGCAGCGGTTCTGGAGATATATCGAAAAGTCTGGAGGGGGCAAAAAATAGCCCCCCCCCCCCCCCCCACCAGGTCGCGGGTTAATATTGTGTACCCTAGACGCTAACCTACTAGTTGAATTTTTTTTTTTTTTCATAAGAGTTTTTTAGTTTTGACTGGTGTACTACTTAAGTATAATACCAAAATGGTATCCTTTCAGGCCAGATAAGGTCAGGTCAAGTCAACCATTATTATGACTAAGATGTCTGAATGACATAAAATCCCTAAGCCCATCATCGTATTTCCCTTCAGTTTTCCTTCGTTCCAACGATACCCATGACGACCTATTTAACAAAGTTACTGTAGAGGGCAGGCCAGGTCAGGTCAGGTCAAGTCAACACTTATTATTACGCATATATCTCTGCATAACTGTATTTTAGTACAAATTGTCTCTACTTTTATGCCAAGGAACATCTAAGCTTTATCTGGCAACCCATTACACTTATGGTAAATCACGATCCTTAAATCTGACTTCTGACATTGCCGTGATCTAACCTGACATTTGATACTTCCAAAATTGTGTACACATTACCCTAGGTGTGCAAAAGTTTCCTGTTGTGTGCAAACTTTTGCATCCTGTTGTGTGCAAAAGTTTTGTTTTGATACACCCAGACATTTAGAAGATTTTTGGGAAAACGTTAAGGGGGCAATAAAGTCCCCCCACCGCGTGGAAGGTGGCCTGGAGGCCCACCGCCTGCTGGGTTAACTTCGCTATCTCTCAAATATAATGTTAAGGTGGGATACTGGTCTCGCAAAACAAAGACCACCATTAGACTCCCCGCGACAAGCTGCATCGAATCGATACCCATTTTATGTAAAAACTAAAAAAATATCAACTTTCACCTAATTTGACCTGACCTTGACCTGGCCTTCACCAGAACGTAACCTAAACTGGCCCCAAATGTCGCCTAACCCACATAATCGCATTTGTCATGTAAAATGGACCATAAAACATGTATCACACGACACTTTTATTGTGAACCTCAGTGACAGTAGCGGCGTAACACCTTCAATTAAGGGAGGGCACTGCCGACTTTTGGTCCCATTCTTTCCATGCAACGCCCATAGGGCTAATGTTAAAATGCCAAAATCAAAGGGGGGCACGGTGCCCCGGTGCCCTCCCCGTTCCGCCGCCTATGCTCAGTGACCTGACCTCTATGATCTGACCTGGTATCAGTGACCTCAAATAGCAAAAGATGTGTTTGACGGACAATGCCCAATCGATGATTTTCAATGGTGCTCCTTTTTACTCGTTTTTACAACACATTTCTTGAAATGCCTGTAAACGGTGAAAATTCGAACTTTGACCTGACCTGTGACGTCATCGGTTAGGCCGAGGTCAATGAAATTAGGTCACAAGGTAGTTCCCTGTTAGCGCTATCCAAAGCCGTTTGAATTTTGAAAATCGGCCGGTAACTTTCCGAGATCTAAGGGGGGTGGGTAAGTTCCGCCGATAGACCTACGGGCGCGGGTTAAGTCTGAACGGTATAGATGGCTCTTTGTAAACTGTTTTAGTAGTTATGAAACGCAGCAGTTTAGGCCTGGTAGTGGTACCTGTCCCGGAGCTGTCTATTACGTTTTGGTGGGCGACCTTCCTGACTGACTGGTGTAACTGTACCAATGCAAGTATGATGCAGAAAGAATGATGTCAATATAATGTAGAACGATTTAATGCAGAAAAGCGTCCTGCGAACGTTAACTGCTTTGGTCAGATCCTAAAAAGAGGAAGTCTGTCATATTACAGGGTCATAACTTCGAAACCAGAATTTGCTTATACAGTGTCCCAAAATTTGTAGATGTGGGTGGGAAACGACATCGAAATGCAGATCATTTTCCACTCTCACCTCCAGTTTTCAAGCCCAATTTTCCACTCCCAATCCCACCGAGAAGGAGCAATTGCGGGAATGGTTGTTTTACATCTGTCACAGTTGTAGATAGATTAATGTTTTTGATCATTTTCCCACTCTTTTTGGGCCTTACCTGACCGACAATTTTCACTTTCATCCTTTTTTTGGTCAGCAATTTTCCCCTCTGACACCCAAGCAAAAATATGATTTTGGTACACTGTGCTTATATGTATCCCCACGGTGAAAGGCTGGTTCGGATGCCACTCATTATACATTTTTTTAAGGCTTTGTGCAGTAACACTAAAATTGGCCTTTGTTTTTATTGTTAATGTTTTGCGTCTTCCAGAAAACCTCGGCATTCCTGTACCGGACTCTGCTGGCGCTCACCTACAACTGGACCTGGACAAAACGGTGGCGGGAGCATCAGCTGCAGACGCACCTGTACCGGACTCTGCTGGCGCTCACCTACAACTGGACCTGGACAAAACGGTGGCGGGAGCATCAGCTGCAGACGCACCTGTACCGGACTCTGCTGGCGCTCACCTACAACTGGACCTGGACAAAACGGTGGCGGGAGCATCAGCTGCAGACGAACCTGTACCGGACTCTGCTGGCGCTCACCTACAACTGGACCTGGACAAAACGGTGGCGGGAGCATCAGCTGCAGACGCACCTGTACCGGACTCTGCTGGCGCTCACCTACAACTGGACCTGGACAAAACGGTGGCGGGAGCATCAGCTGCAGACGCACCTGTACCGGACTCTGCTGGCGCTCACCTACAACTGGACCTGGACAAAACGGTGGCGGGAGCATCAGCTGCAGACGCACCCGCTGCAGACAGACCAGCACACTCGCCCGCTGCAAATGAACCTGCAGAGGACGCACCTTTGATTGAAATGCGAACGCCTCCGCTACAGCGGCACAGAAATCGGATGGTGGCCACGCGTGAAAACATGTCGTCATTTAACAAGGTTGCGCAAGTTCTCCCCACGATACGTGTACAAAATGATTCCAATGATGACAGACTGGATGACGTGGTGTCAGACACAGACTCTGATCCTGACTGGATGCCTCCCAGCAACGAGTCTGCTGACATGCTTGACCGGACGTGGTCCCTCGACGAAGTGTGTGAAATATTTCCTGAAGTGAGAGGTGAGATTCTTCCCAATTCACCCGATCACGCAGATTCGAACCCATCACTGCAGTCACACGCCACCTACTCACCTGTCGCGGGAGCATCTGCGGACGCCCTCTTGCCACCCGCACCCGCAGCTGCAGACGCTTCTGCCGCACCTGCCGCACCCGCACCCGCTGCAGATACTTTGACGACCCAACCTGCAGTGAATGTACCGACAGCGAGTACATCTCGCGAGGATGAACCTCACCTGGAAGGATCCCCCAGTCATGGTGTCTTTTATAGAGTGTCGCCTACTGCTAAAACGTACGATACAATAAACTCATGCCTGTTTTGTAAAAAGAAAATCAAACAGAAAATGCGCCGCCATTTGAAAACAAAACATTCAGACAAACAGCAAGTGGCGCATGCCATGACGGGGACAGCTGATCAACAGGACAGAAAGTTTTCCCTTCTTATCAGCCGGGGTAACTTTGAGCACAACTTGGAAGTACTGGAAGCTGGAAAGGGGAACTTATGTTGAAGAGGAGACCCAAGAAGCCCGACATACCAGTCACCAAGTTCCTGCCATGTCCTGGATGCCTGGCGTTTATGTTGCGTGAGGACCTGCAGCAGCATCATCCAGTTTGTCCTGCAGACAACATGGACAGTCTGGACAACGCAATGATCACCACCAAGGCGGAAACCTGCTGCGCAGGTTTGATCCAGGAGACGTACCTGAGTTCGTAAGGGAGATACGAGACAAAGCTATAAGGGACGTAGTTTGTGGCGACAGAACGTTGGTGGCATATGCCAACTACACCGTAGAAAGCAAAGGAAAAAACGAAAACCACTTGAAGCCAATAAAAACCAGAGTGACCAAACTAGCCAAAGTTCTCCTAGATGTACGGACAGGAAGAGTCAGCCAAACCTCACTATGGATGAGCTTTGTGACGCTCGATACTTTGACGACATTGTGCATGTGACAAAGCAACAGCGGATACAGGGAAGGCACTAAGCTGACCCCCACCAACGTTCCTAGTGCCTACGGTGCCAGAACGTGGGAACTGCGTTGGGGAAGTTTGCCATGTACTACTGGGCTTCAGTATGCGAGAAGGAAACACGCGATGCAGAACCGAATCTCCATCTTCAAGAGACTGCTAGAAAACGAATGGGGCGATAAAATGGGGCGCGCCTCACTCGAAACATTGAATTTGAGAAAACAGAACGCAGAGAAACAGCTGCCAACCACCGAAGATATGAAACGGCTACAGAACCACCTTCAGACCAAACTGGCATCCACGATGGAGTCTGTGAGTAGAAAGCCTAGCGTCAAGTCATACAACACCTTGGCGTGCGTAACAGCCGTCAGCCTCATGGTGTTCAACAAACGTAGAGGTGGAGAGTCCATGAAGATTCGTGTCCGTGATTACACTTCAAGAGCGGCGTACACCCAAAACGAGACAGTCGTCAATTCGCTATCAGACTTGGAGAAACAGATCATGGACAAGATGTGCCTGATCAAAACGCGTGGCAAACGTGGAAGGACTGTGCCGGTTCTCATACCACAGATGGAGAAACGGGCGATCGATCTTCTGGTTTCTCTCCGTGAGTCGGTGGGTCTGCGTGATAGTGTACCAGAAGAGGCGCTCCTCTTCTCAAAGGCTCCGGAAGGAAGACTCGTAAACGGGTGGTATCAGCTGAAGAAAGAATGCAGAGATGCTGGTTGCCGAGACATAAACGCCATCACTTCAACAAATATGCGCAAATATCTAGCCACGATCGCCCAGATCATGAACCTATCAGAAAATGAAATGGATCAGATTGCCTCACACCTCGGACACGATATAACCGTTCACAGAAAATATTATCGCCTACCGGACAGCACAGTAGAACTCGCGAAAATAGCGAAACTTCTACTGTCTACCGAAGAAACGCTTGGAGCCAATCTCGACGATGATGCTGAAGGTCAGTACCATTTACCATTCAGAATACGTAATTTGTCTGAATAACGCATAAATAGCTTGTTGGTAATTACCGGTTGTTCTTATTTATTAATTTTACCATTCTCAGGAAATACATGTAATTGTAAACGCTAAAGCAAGCACAATTGAGCTGGATGTCACCGTGTTTTTCGGGTCGGCCCCATACATGTCCGCTTTAATTATTGTCGTTCTGTGCTTCAAAACAGATGTGCACCGCATGTCAAATCCTAGCATGTACACCAGCATGCGTGGCCTTGTCCACTACACCCGCGCAGCCCGTGGAATGAAAAGTGAAATTTAAGTGAGGGCCCATTTTCGACGCGACGATTTTCGACCCGAGGCATCAAGTGCTGCGGCTTGTTTATTCAGAAGCTGTTCTTATCTCCGTAACTGTAACACATCTGATTTACATACAATAGTTGCGGCCCAGTAACACTGTCCGCAGTTCGTAAGGTATCGAGATATTTATCCTTAGTACTTTCTGTTGTGTACTTTCGGTTGTGTTTGCTCTGTCACACTGCCACCAGCGGTCCTCGTGTGCCCTATCACTGTGTTGGGTCATAGTGTTTTGTCTGTGTGGCCGCCAGGAGCGTCAAATGCAGTCGGCGCTACGGCTGGCCGTGTCAGCGACCCACCTGCTCGGCCACGGCCAACAGGCAGCCGGCTCCGACGTCAAGTAGGCGCTACGGTTCCTGACGCCAGCAGGAGCACTTGACCAGCAGCTCACCGCCACCGCACAGGACCTGGCACAGCTCGGCACAGGTACACGATCTTATTGATCTGATGCTTCATAACGCTTGTCATAGTTTGTTTTCACCTTCGTGACCTTTACTTAAGGTAAATACTTAAGGTTAATACTATACTGATAAGTGCACTGATTGTTTATGTGTCCCTATTAAATTAGATCATGAAATGAGAAACTTTTACTGTTCGTGTGAATCGTGATCGTTCACTCTGATCCAGCACGGCAGACCAAAGTGTTCGTGTAATCGTCAAGTTCACTAATAATTGCGTATCTGATCGAATCGTTTCATTAACCGGAGGACCAAAAGAGTTCTTTGGTGAATGTCTATTTCTTGAATATTCACCACACAATGCACGTTAATCGTATCGTACGACGCCGGCGCCGTTGCGCCGGCGGAGCCGCGTCGCCGTCGTCGTCGCGTCGCGAACTGCCGAGCCGGCCGGCGTCGGGCCGGTCATCGCACACATGTGCCCCAGATGACCACGCGGGCCCCAGTACACCACGTGGGCGGCGAGGCTCGGCTGAGCCCGCCGATCGCTGCCGTCTCCTCCACGGCACAGTACGTTTTCTCTCAAACATGGCCGGCCCGAATTTTCGCCTCGCTCGCGGAAATTCTAAACGTAAGAGAGAAAACATTAGCGAAACAACAAACAGCTGCTCGCAGGCAGTGTCTCTGTCTGTATCGTACAGCAATAAACGACCACTAAAGCTAAGACTGTAAACTACGTCGGCTGCGCCGCGCGTCGGTCCCGATCTAAGGCTGCTACACTCTAAGGCTGTAAACTTCTAACTCGTACAAGACCAACCGGCTAAATGAGCCAGGAGCGACACTGCGACAGTGTGAACGCTGGCGACTGTCGGACGGCTCACAGCTGTTGGCTAATGGCTAAACACCAAACACAAATGACCGGCGCACAGAATGAACGACTCATTCTCGCACACGCACACGTTAACACCGCGAATGGCGGACGCAGTAAACACTAATAGATGGCCAGACTCCGACACTACTCGCCGGCGGCACAGAGGGGTCGTAAACGACTCACCTCAGTCGTCTCACACGCGCACATTACCACTCTGAGTCCATTTACTGTCCGTCACCGTCGCGCTCGAGACGGCAGAGACCAGAGACCGACCGCCTATTCCGAATTTCCGACCAGTGGCGGTGGCCACTAACACTTTGACCACCTGCACTCGGCTGTCGGCGCCAGGGAACACGGTCACCACTCGCTCCAATAGCCAGTGCCCGCGAGGCAGGTTGTCCTTTGTCACCAGCGCTAATTCGTCGAGCTGCACGTCTGCCGGGTCTGCGCGTCACTTCACCCGTGTGGTGAGCGTCCGGAGGTGCGGCCCGGGGCCGGCTTGCCCACTTGGAAGGCTGTAGGTCACTCGTCGGCGTCGGCGCTGGCTGGGCTGACCGTTTCCGGCACGGCATGCAGGCAGGTGTGTACCGCTCCGCAGCGGCCCTGCCACTGATGACCCAGAATTGGTGCCGCAGGTGAGTCAAAACGTGCTCTGCGCCAGAATGGGAGAGCTTCTTGTGTCGATCGGTGACTATCAGCCGAGTGATGTCTCCGCGTGCAGGTAGAATCACCCGGTGCTTGACCTTGAAGTCTAGCTGAGCGTGGCGCAGCTGGCCCCCGACTCTTAGAAGGCCGCTCGAGTCCAGGAAGGGGTTAAGCCGGTGCAGCTGGCTGTTCGGGGGAAGCCGCCTTCCGTGCTGGAGAGCGGCGATATCATCGCCGAAATGCTCGGCCTGTGTGCTGAGCAGCCAGACGCGCTCAGCTTCTCTCAGCTCTTCAGCAGTCAGCGGTCCCGTCCGCCGATCAGCTGCTGCCCGGCTGCGGCTGTTGTAAGCGAACCTGCGCACCCACGCTGTCACACGCAGCAGCCTGAGCCACGATGAGAACCGGCTGGGGTTTATGGCCGGCTCAGCTCCCCTGATGACGCAGGCTGGTGCTCTCATTTCGGCCGTTTCCTCGTCTCTCGGGCGCTCTGTCGGGCGGGGCGGCGCGGCGGGCCGGTCCTGAGGACGGCGCGACAGGACGGCGCGACCTTGGCCCCACTCTTCGCCCGGTGCCACCTCAGCCACCGAGCAGCCTCGGCTGCCTATGTTCGATGAGTTCAGTGACCCTGGCACGTTTTGCCATCGAGTCACTTCCGAAGCGTCCTGGGTTTCCTCGCTGACACGGATATGGTGCACGTCCTTGTTGACTGGCAGGTTCTGGTACGGCGCGCGGCCGGTGACCGTCCAGCCGAGCAGTGTTCTCACGGCGCACGGCGCACCCGGTGGTCCGTCGATCACCTCACGTGCCACGATCAGTTCTATGACGTCAGCGCCCAGAAGTACTTCTACTGGACCTCGAGTCGCACTCGGCAGATCCAGGTCAGCGAGATGAGGCCATTTGCCCTTCTCCCGTGACCAGTCCATGGCGTGATTTGACACACTCAGCGTCGGCGTCGTTTGGGCGTTCCGTATTTCGTGACGTGTGCCACCGCTGCTGACAGGCTCGATCACGAAGGACACACGGCATGATCTGAGTTTCACTTCCGTTTATGGTACTCAGGACCGAACTGTCAATGGGTCCAGAGATGCCGAGACGGTCGCTCAGGCCTTCGGTCACCAGCGTTACCTGGCTCCCGAGGTCGAGAAGCGCGTGGGTCGTGCAGCGCCCAGCAGGACCATGCACCGTTATCGGCAGTGTCTGCAGCAGCACCTTACAGGGTGGCTCGACCACCGCAGTGCCGACATGTTTCACTGGTGACGGCGCGCTGCCGGCAGCACTGCGCCGTGGAAACACACGGCCTCCGTTGTGCAGAAGCGTGTGGTGACGTTTTCCACAGTTCTCGTGTCCACAGTTTGTACCGGACGGGCACGCGGCGCTGATGTGACCTCGCGCGAGACAATTGAAGCAGAGTCCGTTACAACCGGCAACCTCTGCTCTCTCGCTCGCTGTCAGCTGTAGGAACCTGTCACAGCGCTCTACGACGTGTGTCCCCTGACAGAATACACATGCGTCCTCACTCGCGACCGGCGCTGCCTTTATTGCACTAATTTTCTGTTTTACGACCTCTCGGGGCGCGGCCGGCGCTAGCGCAGTCGCGTAAACACGCCGCTGCCGGCTCTCCCCACTGTTGACCTCGGCCTTGGATTGCTGGTGGCCCGTCAGGGTCAGGGACGCACGCCCAGCAGCCACGTAGCCGCGCAGCCAGCTGTCCAGGTCGGGGAGCGTGGGCGGACGAGTCCGTTGTGCACAGAGTGCTCGCCCCATTTCAAAGCCAGCGCAGCAGGAAGCTTGGAGATCACGGCTGTTACATTGGTGGCAGCCGAGATGTCCGCGTCGTAGTGAAGGCACTGTAGCACACGAACCGCGGTGCGAAGGTCACGTGACAGCTCTGTCACAGCCGACATATCACCATCTTTCACCGGCCGCGAATCGAGCAGTTTTTTCATCGTCGCGTGAATGACCCGTGCAGGGTCACCGAACTCCTCCTCTAGCTCACGCATAGCCTCACCGTACAGAGAAGAGTCGCACAACATACCGCGCACTGATTCCTTGGCCGGCCCGGTGAGATGAGCCTGGAGATAGGTCAGGCGCTCGACGTCAGTCAGGTCGTCTCGATCGTGCACTAGAGCCCTGAACAGCGCGATCCATCTCGGCCATTCCAGAGCGGAGCCGCTGAACTTATCCAGGGTCACTCGAGGCAGCTGTGGAGTCGTTTGCTGTCTCACGGGCTGTAGCGGACGTCGTGCTTCCTGCTGGTGACGGTCGTCGTATGGCTGCGCGCTCACCAGTTGTCCGTACTGGGAGGACTGCTCCACCCAGTCCCGGGTGCGTGAGGACCTGTCACCCGGCTGCAGCGGCTCACGCAGCTGGGCGGCTGGCTCACTTGGAGCTGCGGCAGCAGGCCGAGCTAGAGCCTGACGGTCGACGGCAGATGGCTGGTGATCATACTCCTCCTCCTCGAGCAGCTCCAGCTCCAGCTGACGGCGTTCCGCTTCGTCGGCGAGCTGTTGAGCTTCGAGAGCTGCCCGCTGTCGTGCCAGTTCCGCCTCTTACCGCGCCCGCTCCGCCTGCGTCTCCGCCTCCTGCCGTGCCCGCTCCGCCTGCGTCTCCGCCTCGCGACGCGCCCGCTCCGCCTGCGTCTCCGCCTCTTGCCGTGCCAGCTCCACCTTTGCTGCGGCCGCTCGCTGGCCCTGCTCCGCTGCGAGTTTGCTCAGCGCGGCTCGGCGGCGGGCTGCGCTGATGGTGGACGACGCTGCGCTGCCGAAGGTCTCGCTGCGGGTATGGCATGTCCGCGAGCTGCGCGTAGATTTCGCGTCACACTGTGCGACCGCCCTTGCGTCCGACCTGGCGTTCGATTTCGCGTCGGATTTTGCGTCTGACATCACTCCTTCACTGCACTCGCGTCCGGACTGTACGTCCATTCACTCACTAGTTCACATACATCCGGCCCGGAGGACCAAAATGTTCGTGTGAATCGTGATCGTTCACTCTGATCCAGCACGGCAGACCAAAGTGTTCGTGTAATCGTCGAGTTCACTAATAATTGCGTATCTGATCGAATCGTTTCATTAACTGGAGGACCAAAAGAGTTCTTTGGTGAATGTCTATTTCTTGAATATTCACCACACAATGCACGTTAATCGTATCGTACGACGCCGTCGCCGTTGCGCCGGCGGAGCCGCGTCGCCGTCGTCGTCGCGTCGCGAACTGCCGAGCCGGCCGGCGGCGGCCGGCCCGGCGCGTCGGGCCGGTCATCGCACACATGTGCCCCAGATGACCACGCGGGCCCCAGTACACCACGTGGGCGGCGAGGCTCGGCTGAGCCCGCCGATCGCTGCCGTCTCCTCCACGGCACAGTACGTTTTCTCTCGAACATTTACCAAAAATACAGTCAAAGAACTTCACGAAAAGTAAATTCAGCTTGCCTAAAACGCAATGTTTTTAGATGACCTAGGTTGTACAGACACACAAACCCACAGACATACAAACACATATCAGTGACCTTGACCTAACTTGACCTGAAATGGCCTCAGCCAGCCAAAACCTAGTCGGATAGTGTAACAAAGAGGTTCTTGCTGGCTTGGCACCACAATACGTCAGCGTCATCGGTATATGATAAGCAGCGCACTTGATATCCAACGGTGACCCCAAACAGCAACATTTTTTGTTTGACCTGACCTGGAAGGTCACTGACTGACCTGAGAAGGTAAAACTGTGTATCATTGGATTCGTCTCTTCCCAAAAAAATCTTTTTAGTCTTTACCGCGAAGCTCTATCTCCAGCAGGAACGAAATGGCGCGGGGGTGGCAACCCCCCCCCCCCCCATGTGCGTTCTAGGATGGGAAAGTGGCATGTGCGGGCGAGGGTTAAATTGCGTAGTTGAATTCACATGCTGAACGAACTTCATCATCGGAACTTGTAGATCGTATAACAAAATGTGACCCGGGTTGCAATGTACAGTACATTCTAGGTATGTCAAGGCGTTAGTGTGACTGGTTAGTCAATCTGGTTGTGAATTTATCGTTGGTGGGTCCAGTGAATAATTATCAGCTTGTTTACTTTGTGTCTCTTGTTCTGGTGTAATTGCCTGCATTATCTCTAAGTCATTCGTTCCATAGATATTTTATCTACATGAAGATGCCCATCCAATGTCGAAACACTTTATTTTCTGCCGTCTGACTGCTTTACACTCGTGATCGATGGTATCAGCATTCTCCTTGGTAGAAAACGAGTAAAATGAGATGTTCAAAGGTCATCGACCATCACTGTCGTCAAAATATTTCAGTAAAGTCGTACCCTATTTCGTTTTCGGAAACCTCCTTCGGGGAAATAAATCCAAAGTAAAGCTAAATTTGTCAGTTAAAAGTCGTGAAATCAAGCTCGCACGATGTTTCAGCTCACATTCCCTAACTTGAATTCCTCCAATGAAACGGCAGGATAATAAGCGTCAGGGCATCTCTATGTATATAAGACCTCTATGATCCGTTCTACATGAATGGAAAGATGTGTTCTGGAACAAACGTTGATATTATATCTCTTGATTCACAGGCATGCACATTGACCCAGCAGTGGTGCAAGAATGCGAATGGCAAGCTCTGCACTGATTCCTCCGTTTTTAGCATTAGTGTTTCGCGTAACTTTCCGTTAAACGGACGGGGCCGCCGCCGGCCCCGGCCGCCGCCGTGCGAGTCGGCCGCCGCGCCGCTACGGACGACTGGCACACGCCACAAGTGTGATGGATTTTCGGCCAACGCGGCGACACCGGCGTAGCGTTCAATTGGCCGCGCTGCCCTGACGCTCCGGTGACGGACAGGTGGACCGAGGGCGCCGCCCGCCCATCCCTCCGGACCAGGCCAGGCCGGCCGATCTGAGGGAGGTAGGGAGGAGCCGCGTGGCTGGCCGAATGGACGGCCGCGCCGGGCCATTGTCACTGATTGTTGGCCATTGTCACTGATTGTTCATTGCCGCACCGAGGTCCGGCGATGTCACCGGAATGCCGCCACTGGTTTGAGTTTCCGCGAAACCGGCTTGCCCAGAGATGTTTGTCACTGGCATTGCTATGTGCTATTTGTGATGTTCATATATACCATTCCCGTTACGGAGTACATATCTTGTTTTGAACGTTAAGTTCCGATATACGAACTGGCCGTCTGAAAAAGAGCCGCACGTGCACGATGCTTGTAGATATTCCTGACGACCACGAACCGACCACGAATCAGAACTGCGCCTCTCGTAATGGGAGTGCGAGTAGTTGTTGCGAGTTAGAGCTCCTTGGCGAGTGGCTGACTCTGAACTGACTGACTAAACACCGGTTAGCTGTTTCACCAGCAGTCCCAGTGGAGGGAAGTAGGCCCAGGCGAGCAGGGTGTCGCAGCGTAAGTCCGACGATGGCGGCGCAGTAGTCGAATGGCGTCCACATTTAGCCGACGAAGGCTGCGCTGAGCGCCATACCCGCCTCACCTTATCTCCGAGTCACGTGTTCATGACTGACACGGGCAACCATACGGCCCGTCGTTGCCCACGCGCACCCCAGACGGGGCCGCCAGTCGCGGCCCCGGACACGTCAGTCCCCAGATCTGCAGTGATGTCGCCCGGCTCTGACGATGGCGCACAGCCGCCGTGTCCGCGGTCTCCGTCGCCGCCGCGGTATGCGGCGCTGGGCGGCGACTCGTACATGTCGCGGTCTCGCCATTGGGGGCCGAACGATTCGCGGCTCCCGCCGACCCCGCCGGCGACGAGTTTCCTCCGGCGAGTCCTGCGCCGTCTGGCGTGGTCGACGCTGCCCGGGAGGTTCCTGGCTGGCAAGCTGCTGCTGTGTCTACCGACGCACAGAGGTCAGTAGCTCCGGTGCCGGCCCTGCAGTGCTCTGAGAGAGCGTCGAGACCGCCTAACCGATTCTGTCCCTAATTAAGGTCTTTGTAAATATGTGTTCATCGTGCATCGTTTGTGATGTGAGCCGCGTGATCAGCTGCTAACTGATAATTTTTACTGCGATTTTGCTGTGGTCGTTGCTGGCGAATTGTTTAGTAATGTCGTGGCAAGCTGGTTGGGGACGCCCGTCTGGCTGTTCTGTTGACGGAACGCGCCGATCGACATGGCATGCAGCCATCCAGCGCCTCAAATCGGCGAATCTGTCCAGCGTGGTCTCAATGGAGTGCTGAGCGGTGCTAAAGGACATGGTTATTTTCATGCGTTCTGTTCACAGTTTTGTCGTGGCTGTGCTGTCCGCGGCCGTGCTCCACGGTTGCGACGTCTGCGGCCAAGCTGCCCGCTGCTGAGCTCCGCGGCCGAGCTGCCAGCGGCCGTGCTCTGCGGCCGTGCTCTGCGGTCGTGCTCTGCGGCCGTGCTTCCCGTGGCTGGGCCCTCCGTGGTCCCGTGATCGTGGCCGCGGCGAGGGTGCCGCGACCTGCGCGATGCCGTGCGCTGCAGTGATGGCGCCGCGCACTGTGCAGTGATTTTGCCGAGCGCTGCGTACGCGGTGGGTGCCGCGCGCCGCGCTGTTGAGCGTGCCGTATTCGGACGGTGGCTGCCGCGCGCAGCGTGGTGATTGCTGCGCTCTGCCATGAGTGCCGCTCACTGCCGTGGCCTGAGTGCCGCGCTCGGACGGAGTGCCACGCGCCGTTGTGTTGCGTCGCCTTCTGCCTTTTGATATGTGCTATCTCCGAATTTAATGTTGCTTGTTGCCGATGTTCGCTTCTTTTCGTTAAGAGGGTCGGGTATAGTCGGTCGATTTATTCGCACCGTTTGATTTCGTACCGGCTTCTCTTCTGTTTCTTATTGTTTTCTGCGATGTCACTTGTCCGATTTTATATCTGATTAATTCACGTCACTTAAGTATTTATTTTATATTGTCATAATAACTTACGGCGCTGTTCCTTTATTTTCTGTTTAGTTGCAGCCCTAGTACCTTAATTTCCGATGTCTCTTCGGTTTGTTGTCGCTCGCATGTTCAGAGAGTCCTGGTTGGCCGGCGCGAGCGGCGGTTGTGGAATACAAGCTCGTCTGTGAAGGTTGTGTGTCGGAGCCGGGTTGGCGAGGCGGGACCCGTCTACATTTCAAACACCATTGCATTTCTCTCATCAAGACGCGTCGAATGATGAATAATGTGACCTCAAACATAGGCGCGGGAACCGGGGAGGGGGCAGTAGGGGCAGCTTGCCCCCCCCCCCAACTCTGGGGCCGTGGGGCCGTGTATCTTATGGTCAGGGCGCGTGTTTGAATTTATTTTCGGGGGTTGGGTCACTTAACTTGACCTGGTGACCTGACCTTTGATGACCTGGAGCTAAAATTTTCAAAGCCTGTACGGAAAAGACGTATAATAAGCTGTACCAAACCGTTTTTGAGATGTCAGCGAAAACCTGGGGGGGGGGGCGTGAAAACGCCGAGCGGGTTAATGAACCAGTAAGACGCCTTTCGGGGCGATACGCGAGCGAGCAAAAGGATGAGCCCTGCAAGTGCGAAACTGAGTGGGGGTATTTCCAACTGACTTTTGCACGGCACCCTGCCAACCGGTCGCTATCGGTGTATCAAATCTGAGCACAATCGGTCCAGCCGTTCCTGAGATCTGGAAGCGGCACCCTCCACGTGCGCACGTGTAGTACACTTCAACGTTGGTCGTTGACGCATTGAAATACATTGCCAAGTTGCTCATAGGTACTCAGAATTTTCCGCCATTCTACGAAAGCTTGCTTCGCTCGCTCCGCTGGCTCGCTTGTAATAAAGCACGTAAAAAATATGTCAACTTAAAGTGCAATTTAAAAACAAAAATGTACGTCCACCTATGCACTACATTTCAAAGCAAAAAAAAAATGTCCACTTATACCGTTATCTCAAGACAAAAAAAAATATGTCCACCTAAAAGTACAGTCCACCGAAACGCTTTTTTGCACCCAAATTCGACCGGCTACCACATCAAAACTAACCGGCATAGGACAGCGGCCAGTTGATATTTTCTTGCTACCTACCTGACGTGTGCTGCCATCTAAAAGTCATCCTCCCAGCATGCGTAGTTTTCAAGTCCACCGAAAGACGAAATACGCTAAAGTCCACCCATCCCGGAATTTGGAATATGTGTGTTTTCACGACGGTTTAAGCTGGCGAGTGGTGAATGCACTAAACTTGACCAAATCTATCCAAATTCTTCTTCCAATGTATAATCGAAAATACTCCCTGATAGTTTGATAGATCAGGTGTAGGTGTAAGCAGCTGGTTCAAACTAGGCAGACAAAAAAACATGCATCCGATCAGTGGCGGATCCAGAGGGGGGAGGCAAAATGGACATTTGCCCCCCCCCCAAACGGCATAATTTTAACATTACGCCTATGAACGATGCATGGAAAGAATCGATAAATTGTTATGGTTTGCCCCCCAAAAACTCTGAGCTGGATCCGCCTCTGTATCCGATTGACCTCTGTGGTAGCTATTCCTCCCCGCTGCACAAAGCACAGCACCCCCCCCCCTGACCCCCCCCCCCCCCTGCACCTATAACCAGACTGCGGTCGAGTGGCTCGGGCCGGGGAGAGGGGTCTATCGGGAGATGGGAGCCGATAGTGGCCGGCTACTGCATGACACGGTCTGACTCGGTGAGCCCCCCCCCCCCCCCCCTCCGGACCGGCCGGGGGCGGTCGGAGCCAATTTTAGGGCACACTGACTCCTATAGTGGGAGTGGCTGCAGCTTCCTCTACCTTCAGGCGATGTTCCGTTCAAAGGCGATGATGTCAGCAATACCACACCACATTCACTGGTTCATCGTTACAGCTTTCCGATATTTAGGCCTCGCCTTCTTATTAGTGCCACTGCCACGCAACATCAAGCCAACGCAATGGTCACTCTGATACGATGTAAATTCGTTCACCGTGCCATGAGTAAATTCGTTGGCTCTGATTCTATGTGAATTCACTCGCCACTCTACGAGCCAGCTCTCAGGGACTGTGAGCGCGAGCAGCTTCATCAGCTCTGCAGGGCGTATGGACCGTCAGCATAGTGAACTGGTGTGTTTATTCACATCCGATATCAGACAACACTAAAGCAAATATTCTAAATAGCCAGACGTTTCGGCCTCAGGGTGCCTTCGTCAGTAACAGTAGGTATTGATTACTATTGCATTAACCTTCCAGGCGGTGGGGGGGCCTTTTTTGCCCCCTCCCCCTTTAGTTTTTTTTTTCTTCAAATTATCTCCAGAACCGCTGCGCCGATCGTCACCAAACTTTCAGTACCCTCCCGGGAGTAGCTAGCGCACATGGTGACCATTTTTTTTCCAAAGGCTATGATAGGTTGGCCGCAAATGACGTCAGAGTGACGTCATTTCTGCCATTTTCGACCCAAAAAAAAGGTTTCGCGGGAAGAGCTGTCAGGCCTATAGCTTTGAAGATACAGAAAAATGTTCAGACATAAAAGGGGTAGAATCACTAGTGCGACTAAACTGCTTTCTTCAAATTTTGAGATTTTGAATTTTGACCCCGAAAAACCCTTTTTTAATTTAATAGCCAAAAAAATCCAAAACGTTTCACGATTTCCGAAAAAATGGGAACGTGTGTAAAAGCCCTTACCGACTTCTATTCACATACCAAATTTTAGATCGATATCTTATTTTTTGACCAAGTTATTGCGAAAAAACTGTTCAAAATTGATGACGTCAAATTTTCAAAATCATTCTTTAGCAATTTTAGACCACGTAGCGCAAAACAAAGACCATCATTAGACTCTCCGTGACAAGCTGCATCGAATCAATACCCATTTTATGCCAAGATATCAACTTTGAAATTTGACTTTTTTTTACCTGACATTGACCTGACCTGCACCAGAAAGTGACCGAAACCGTTCCTGATGGTCTTATAACAAACACCATTGAGTTGGAAATGAAAAATTGACCATAAAACATGCATCGCATAGCCCTAGTAAAATTGGGTTTATGTGGTGACCCTTGGTGACCTGACCTGTGACCTGACCTGGTATTATCAGTGACCTATAATAGCAATATATGTACTAGGCAACTGACGCCCAATCGCTGATTTTCGATAAAATGCGTTTACTCGATGCTATAGCGCATTCCCTAGAAGACCGGTGAACGGCCAAAGATTTTGTCTTTGACCTGACCGACATCATCGATGACCCCGAAGTCAATGAAATTAAATTTTCTTCAACGAATTTGACAGGGCTTTCGAACGCCGTTTGAATTTTGCGGATCCGCCCAGTAGTTTCGGAGATACGGGGGGGGGGGGCAAAAAAGTGCCCCCACCCCCACCGCGCGGAAGGTGGCCGTGAGGCCCACCGCCTGCCGGGTTAATAAATTAGCCCGCGCCCAGCTGGGGGAGGGGGGGGGGGTGTTTGAACACCCCCCAGCGGTTTTTCGCGAATATCTCAAAATCGGGAGGGCGGAGCGCCGCCGTTTTTGGCACACCTTACCGTACATCTTTTCCGCACATGCTAGCAAAATTTCAGACCAAGGTCGCTCAAGGTCAGGTCACCAGGTCACGTCAAGTGACCTCACCTCCTAAAAAGTTTCAATGCCTGCCATATCTACACCGAGCGACCGATCGCTTTGAAACTTTCAGCGATTGATAAGAGAAACAATATGTACAAAATGTGTATCTCTGAATTTTGATGTGGGTGACCTAAGGTCATGTCAATTTTGCGACCTTTCCATTACCTATAAGTCAATGGGAGAAAATTGAAAGGCGCCTCTTTTAGACGAACGTCATTCTAAACACTTTCAAACACCGAATCCCAAGTAAAAATGACACATGAACCTGAAAATGGCACCCGTGACCCCTATTTATGTCCCTAAGGCCATCTCAGGTCACGAAAGGTATCTAAAACAGTTTTCGCTAATAACTTCTGATAGACGCGTGCTAGGAGCGATGAAAACGCCTTAGATGTGTTTGGGTCGACGCTACGGATCGGCTGATATGCACCACGACCTTTTACGGTCAGGCCATGACCTTGACCTGAGGTCAAATGGTCAAGTTGACCTTTCAAGGTCAAGATACAAGATGCAAGATACAAGTTGTGTATTATATCATCGATCCACTTGACACAGCGGCCGTGTGGCTTTTCACAATGACGCGTCGTGAAATAAAACATGTGCAATGAAGGGGGCAAGCATAAAACATAAAAAAGGGACGGCCGCACGCCAACTTTTCTCAGGATCAATTTTTGCCCGTTTTGCTCGCTAAAACACGTGCTTATTCCTGTTTGTTTATTAGGGCTTACGGGCGCGTCCACTGCGGTGGTCATTTTCACGTGCTTATTCCAAAAACATACTTGGAGCCAGAGTCCTTTTGAAAAAACGAAGTATAGTGATTATCTTTATAAACTTAAGTTTTTTTTTTCTCGTAATTTCTTGCTTTATTGGTAGCAAGAGTACAATCATTTATCCGTCTGTAGTACCTAACCTAACCCTTTCACCCGGCCGTGCCCAATCCTCTGTCCGGCCGTACCCAATCCTCTGTCCGGCCGTACCCAATCCTCTGACCAGCCGTACCCAATCCTCTGACCAGCCGTACCCAATGCTGTGTCCGGCCGTACCCAATGCTGTGTCGGGCCGTACCTAAACCTGTGTCGGGCCGTAACTAGCCCTGTGTCCGGGAGTACGTAATCCGTTCGGCCGCCGTTTGACGTCACTGGGTGTATCTTATCTGCTGACGCCGGAGCGCCGACTATCCGCCTCTATCAGTGCCTATCAGCGTCTATCTGCCCCCGGCCGCGGCGCGACGCCGCTCCGTCCGCCACCAGAGGCAGTCCGTCGGCCCAGGTGACCTGCGTCCGGTCAGCGGAACGCCGCGCGACCATTGGCTGCTGAGGGTGACCTGCACCGGTGCAGCGGAACGCCGCGCGCCCATTGGCTGCCGTCCGGAGGGTAGGCTGTGCCGCAGTACAGCATTCGGCAGTGCCGACCGATCTGGGTGGGCTGGCTGACCGCAGCGACCGTAAAGCCCGGTCTGCTCGTGGGGAGGGAACAACAGGAGGCGACAGAGGAGTGACAGGGAGCAGTGGTCGGAGGAGGAGTGAGAGGACGCCGCGAGGAACTGTGGGAGGAGTGACGGGCGGCCGCGCGATGGCCGGACTCGGCGCAGTCCTGCCCGGGCTGCTGCTGCTGATCGGCGCACTGTGGTCCCCGGCAGGTGAGTTGGACGATCCGCGATCCGTCCTATATGGTCCGCGGTCCGCCCTATATGGTCCGCGGTCCGCCCTGTATGGTCCGCCCTATATGGTCCGTGGTCCGCCCTATATGGTCCGCGGTCCGCCCTATATGGTCCGTGGTCCGCCCTATGTGGTCCGCCGTATATGGTCCGCGGTCCGTCCTATATGGTCCGCGGTCCGCCCTATATGGTCCGCGGTCCGCCCTATATGGTCCGCCATATATGGTCCGCGGTCCGCCGTATATGGTCCGCCCTATATGGTCCGCGGTCCGTCCTATATGGTCCGCGGTCCGTCCTATATGGTCCACGGTCCGTCCTATATGGTCCACGGTCCGTCCTATATGGTCCGCGGTCCGCCCTATATGGTCCGCCGTATATGGTCCGCGGTCCGTCTTATATGGTCCGCCGTATATGATCCGCGGTCCGTCCTATATGGTCCGCGGTCCGTCCTCGTATATGGTCCGCCGTATATGGTCCGCGGTCCGTCCTATATGGTTCGCGGTCCGCCCTATATGACGTCCGTCCTATATGGTCCGCGGTCCGCCATATATGGTCCGTGGTCCGCCCTATGTGGTCCGCCGTATATGGTCCGCGGTCCGCCATATATGGTCCGCGGTCCGCCGTATATGGTCCGCCCTATATGGTCCGCGGTCCGTCCTATATGGTCCGCGGTCCGTCCTATATGGTCCACGGTCCGTCCTATATGGTCCGCGGTCCGCCCTATATGGTCCGCCGTATATGGTCCGCGGTCCGTCTTATATGGTCCGCCGTATATGATCCGCGGTCCGTCCTATATGGTCCGCGGTCCGTCCTCGTATATGGTCCGCCGTATATGGTCCGCGGTCCGTCCTATATGACGTCCGTCCTATATGGTCCGCGGTCCGTCCTATATGGTCCGCGGTCCGCCCTATATGGTCCGTCCTATATGGTCCGCGGTCCGCCCTATATGGTCCGTCCTATATGGTCCACGGTCCGCCCTATATGGTCCGCCGTATATGGTCTGCGGTCCGTCGTATTCTCCCGGCAGGAGGGTAGGGGCCGATGTTGTGATGGTAAGTCCGAGGAAGATGGGCTGGATGGGCTGCCGATCCGCACCATTATTCAGCTGACTCAGGGTCAGCGGCGCTCAGCTGACCTGGCTAGTCCGAGACCAGTCTGGTCGGTCTGATCAGTCCGACCAGTCTGATCAGTCTGTTCTGTGTGGTCTGTCTGATCAGTCTGATTAGTCTGGTCAGTGTGGTCAGTGTGGTCACTGTGGTCTGTATGGTTTGTGTGGTCTGTGTGGTCTGTCTGATCAGTCTGATCAATCTGGTCAGTGTAGTCTGTGTGGTCAGTCTGATCAGTATGGTCAGTCTGATCAGTCTGGTCAGTGTGGTCAGTCTGTGTGGTCAGTCTGTGTGGTCAGTCTGGTCAGTTTGGTCAGTTTGGTCAGTCTGATCAGTCTGGTCATTCTGGTCAGTCTGGTCTGTGTAGTCAGTGTGGTCAGTCTGGTCTGTGGGGTCTGTCTGGTCTGTGTGTGATCTGTGTGGTCTGTTAGGTCAGAGTGGTCAGTGTGGTCCAAGGGGACTAAAGGCCATGGGGTCACTATAAAAGTTCGTTTTTTCAAAAGGACGCTGGCTCCAAGCATTTTTTTCGAATAAGCACGTGTTTTAGCGAGCAAAACGGGCAAAAACTGAACCTGAGAAACTCGAACGTCGCCTTATTTTAACATGCGAATTATTCCCGATAAATTCCATGCCTGCGTTTTGGAACTAGACATGAGAACAGTGGTGACGTCATGCTGTGGAACTTGCATTGCAATGCAATGCATAACTATCATGAAAAGAATCGCTTACTCGATTCGGGCCTCGGTAAGAGCAAAACCGAAGTTTTCCCAAAATTCGTTGGTAATGAATGCTTTCTTACGGACATTGGGTGCCAGCTGCCACCAGTGACGTCATCATATGCTCATTTTTGAAGTCACATTTTCCATGTATTTACAGAGCACAATTTGAAATCGATCATTTTTTTTCTACAAGAAATTCCTAGCCAGACGCTGAAGCTGCTAAAACTGACGTGAAAGCTTCGAGAATGAACTTTGAGCCAACGTCCTTTTGAAGAAAAAAAACGAACAATAGTGCAATTACTATTCAGTGTCATGCTTGCCTGATCGACATCCATATCATTCGGAACTTAACGAACTTAACACAATGTCATAATTCTCTATCTTTTCTGTAAGCAATTAAATCCGTTTGGTGACCGTTGATGACGTCACATGACCTTAGAGCTGTCTAATAGGAATTAATACATCAAGGTAGTCAAGGTTGGTAATAAATGACGTCATTTATGGTATAATAAGCCATTCCGACGAGTTTCAGTGAAAAATCAGGCAGTTGATTTTTCTCTTATTCACTTAGTGGGGGAGGACAAGAAATTGACCTGAACTTAGGCATCGATATCGAATTTCAGTGACAAAAAATTGTTTTTTTTTTGTCACTGAACGTTTGGTTTCTTGAAGCGTGCAGACGTGTTTTGCTGTGCTCTAGAAAACTTGGATTTTAGCCGAATATAGCTTGTTTTCATTAATGTATTACATATTGGCATGTTCCTAATTTGACGTAGATGCTATGGAACATACTTTTGTGTCATATAAGTATAAGATGTGTCTTTATTCTTACATCTAAAAGTTGATTTTTCTAGTCTTTTGTTTAAAAAAACTCAGTAAAAGTAGGGCAAAGTGCCCGTGATTTTTGCAGGAAGGCTCGTGCAGCTAAATAGAGTAGTTGTTCGTTTTCAAGATACCATTATCTGAATTATGAATTCACTGAATCGTATTCAGCGAAGATGCCGCGTAGAAAGAATTCTGTAAAAGGGAAAAACTCTCAAGATGGCCAAAAACAACATAATTCACTATCAGACAGCCAACCGCAGATCATCTCATCATCAGGAAATCCGTCAGTTGTTGTTTGCGAACAGTGCGGCATCAGAAACAGTAGAAAACATCACATTACGTGTGACTCATGCGGCCATCATTGGCATCTCACATGCGTTGGCCTGAAGCGGAGGGAGGCTGATTTTTTATCACGCTGGTGGTGCAAAAGATGTCTCGGCTTTGAGACTTCACTCAGCTCGCAGCCAGATCATTCCACCGCCAATGTTCTGCGCTCAACACCGGAGGCGGACATCCCATCAAGCGATGCTGGTGATCTGGCGTCCAGCTTAGCCAAGCTCAGACAAGATCGCCACGTTATTCGCCGCATCCCTAGAGGTGCTAGAATAGCTACAGCTGGTGCACTCACGACCCTACTCGAAGATACCGTACAGAATAACACGGGATCGACCTGGAAGAGACTGCTGCTGTTTCCATATCACGCTTTGTGTGTGCCGGAACGCGACAGTAGTCAAACACAGGACACGTCACTGACGTCGAAAATCAAACGCCAAGTCAACAGCTACATGACCTCAACCCCTCTAATACATGTCCAGTCATCGGTCGAGACCAACAGGGTGAAAAATCCTGTCCATGGGAAGCGTCAACGGCCTGAACATAACGAAGACGGACGCCTCCAACGGAGCGTGGCAGCCAAAATAGAAGACGGGGACGTGCGCGGAGCCATTCGTTTGCTCGCCTCCAAGGATCAGCTGGCCCAGAGCTCACAGGAGATAATCGACAGTCTGCAGCTCAAACACCCACCCTCCCCAGACGATCTGGCCTTACCAGCAGCGCCCGATGAGTCCATCCAGCCGTGTCAGGTCACCGAGCCCGAAGTGGCGGCCTCCATCGCCTCCTTTGATACCGGCTCCAGCGCTGGTCTTGACGGCCTACGACCAGCCCATCTCAAAGATCTGACCACCCGATCCACCGGGGAAGCTGGCGTGCGACTCATCTCAGTTCTCACGGCGCTCGTGAACCTTGTCCTCAGTGGTGACGTCCCAGCCTCTGCGCGTGATGCCTTCTTCGGCGGCGCCTTAACAGCGCTCCGGAAACCAGGTGGAGGTGTGAGACCGATCGCAGTGGGGAACACTTACCGACGCCTGGCGACCAAGGTGGCTCTGAAGCCAATCAGCGCCGAGCTGGGAGATCTCCTACGTCCAGTGCAGCTGGGATATGGCACCACAGGCGGATGCGAGGCAGCGGCACATGCAACGCGGCGATTCAATGACGAGCTCGGCGAGGGCAGTGCCATCATCAAAATCGAAATGCGCAACGCCTTCAACAGCATCCGAAGGGACCACTTCTTACACCAAGTTCGAGAGCGTGTGCCGTCACTTTTCCACCTACTGTGGCAAGCATACAGCGCACCAACTCCACTCTTCTACGAAACAGCAACAATCACATCGGCCACGGGACTTCAGCAAGGTGACCCGTGTGGTCCCGCTGTGTTTGCGCTGGCCATTGACCAAGTGGCCAGAGGGGTGACGGCACCATTCAACTGATGGTACCTCGACGACGGCACCATCGGTGGCCAGGTCAGCACCATCTGTTTGGACCTGCAGAAGCTAATACCGGCTATGGCCAGCATCGGTCTCAGTATCAACGCCAGGAAGTGCGAGATAATTCTGCCAGATGGCAGCGCTGATGAAGAGGCAATGCAGGCAGTGAGAAGAATTCACGAGCTTATCCCAGGTGCAGCTGTCCTCGGCGCTTCGGAGCAGACCATTCTTGGCGCTCCCATCACTGAAGCAGCAGCCGATGCCGTCATGGAAGAAAAACAGGGGGAGCTCAAGCACATGGTAGAGCGCTTACATCACTTGGACGCCCACACCGCGCTCTTCCTGCTACGCAACTGTATCTGGCTACCGAAGCTTCAATATCTGTTGCGAGCTTCTCCACTCCAGGGGGATGTCGTCCCGGTTCTTCCCATGTATTATTCGCCAATCAGCTTAACACTACCGGTGACGTCACTGGTGGACCGCCAATCGGGGCCGGCCGGCCGGGCCCGTAGAAGGCCAAACGCAGACGTTTTCAGAAAAGCGTAAGCCGTATAGATACAGTCGTGGAT